ACAGGGGGATCCAGCTCTGCATCCCAACACATCCCTCCTCCCATGCATCTCCAGCAAACCCACATGCACACGGATTCTCAGGGCAGAAAGCAAAGCAGATTTCACCTTCATTTTAGAAAAGTCAGGAGAGTGAAAAGCTGTTCTGCCTGGCCATACTTTATCTCACTTTCCTTTTATCCCTTTTAATGAATATCCCTGTTCTTTTCTCTCTCCCTTTTATCAACAGAAAAGGGTCTTGCTCTGCCAAATCTGCCTGAGAGCAAATGGTGTTGCAGTTAATCTATAAATCAACCATCACCATAAATTCTGCTCTTTCTCCATCCAAAACAGCAGAGCTGTAAAACAGATTACACAGGACAGCAGAGGCAGGAAGGAAATCTGGGAGCTGTGAGGAGCTGCCACCACAGCCAAATGGCCTTCCCTGCTTCTCCTTTCTCCCCACTCCACCCAAAAAGCCCCCAAACCTCTGCTGCCAGGCCTGGGACGCTTTTAGGAGCAAGGACACCTCACACACTTCCCATGGAAGATGATTGGGGATTGAGGGAAGAAAGGGAATTCAGGAGAAGATTCTGCAGCCTAACACCAAGAAACAGGAGAAGCAAAACTCAGAAAAATAAAAATTCTCGTGTGGAGCATCAGCTGTGAACCCCAGCTGTGATTCCAGCGAATGCAGCCTAAGGAGCCTCAGCATCTCCAGGGTGCAGGGGCTGCTGAGAGCCCAACACTGGCAGTGACAGCTGACCCTGCAGGGATCCCAGCAGCCTGGGCAGAGAAATGATGTGAGGTGAGAAATGATGGAGGGACCTGCAGCCACAGAGTTCTGCACCAAACATGACAGCAGCTGCCTGCAATGGGGTCACCCCGAGCCCATGGAACATCTGGGGGGTGTCAGAGCAGGGGCAGAGCAGCACAGGGATGGTGACAGGCTGAGGGGCAGCACCCTGCCAATGAACAGTTAAGCTCCATAACTGCTTTAGGTCATTTTCCTCCCCCAAGGCATTTTTCCAGGGATTAACATTTCCTGTCCTGAGGGGAGAGCACAGGACAAGATTTCAAAGCACACAGCACACAAAGCTGCAGCTCTTGCAGACCAGAGTGAGAAATGAAACCAGGGAGATGCTGGGCAGCTCAGATCTGCTGCTGCTGCTCCAGGAGGGGCTCTCAGCCAGGGCCAGAGGGGCTCCTTTGAGCATCCCTCCCATGGGAACAGCCAGTCCTGGCTGGAATCTCCCTCCCCTCACAGGCCTGTGGGAAGGGGAGCTTTCCCTGCTGACAAACGAATTAAACTGCAGATGTTACAAGAGAGCCATGGAATTCCAGAATGGTTTGGCTTGGAAGGGACCTTCAATCCCACCCAGTGCCACCCCTGCCATGGCAGGGACATTTTCCACTGTCCCAGGCTGCTCCAATTCCCATCCAGCCTGGCTTTGGGCACTGCCAGGGATCCAGGGGCAGCCACAAGCAGGATTTGCCCTCCTTGACTGGACTTGCCCTATGCAGGGAGCCTCACTGGGAGGGAAGAAAGCAGAAATTCTTGGGGTAACTCCGTGGACTCTCAGGTTTGCAGTCCTTTCACAAGCCAGAATTCCAGAAGTGTTTCTGGGATGTAATTGTATCTGTGACCAGTGCTTCCAACTAATCATATTATTTTAAAGTTCCTTTGGTAATTTGTCCTTAATTCCACACAAACTGCTGTTCTGGCATAAAGTGTACTTTGTGATATCAAAGTCAAACAGATTAGGCATGATCCACTTCCAGCGAGGGAGTGTTTTGGAGAGGAGATGATACAACTTAAAAGCTAAAGCTGGCTCCCTGTTTTAATTAAAGGGGATTAAACATCCATCATGATAACGGAAAAGGGACATTTTATAAAAATCAATTACCTTCCTCAGTGTCAGTCTGCTTTAACACCTGTGGTTTCTGGGAGAAGGGAGAGTGTAAAACCCCATCAGCACCCAGGGAAGGTAAATTAAATACAGTTACTGTACAGTTAGAAAATTACATAAATACTGTTACTGTACAGCACGACCACAAAATATCCAGGAAAAATAACTGTATCACCCAATCAGGTGGTACTGACAAAATAAAATGTTACACTCCTAAAGTGCATCAGGCAAATGCACAAGACTCAGATTCAAAGTTTCCTGCAGCACTTCCCCGGCCAGGAAGCCTCCAGGTGGGACTGCACATCTTTATGGAGGTAAAAGTGCTGGTGGAACACCTCAGCATCTAAAAATATTCTTTTGGAACTGCAAAGGCTGAGCCACATCCATTCCTCACTAAAATGCCATAATCACCATGAAGAATGAGGCCTGGCACTCAGCTTTGTTGCTTCTGTCATTATAAAATCAGTTTCTGCTCGCACCGTTTGACAATATGCTCAATTTTAGATCTCACACAGGAGTGTATGAGGTAATTATACACAATATGTATAATTGATACAGCAAAAATTCCCACCACCAGAGGTTTAATACGGGGCTGCAGAATTAAATACATTTCAGTTATTTCAAAAGTTTGAGACTGTGAAAAGGCGGCAATTAAATTCCTAATGCGAGAGGGACATTTTAGTGTAATTTGAGAAAAAAAGCGAGTGAAAGGCTGGGTCTGGCAGCTCCTGCCTCAGGGGCTTCACATGAGGTTACACAACTTCTCCCAAGCCTGGGGTGCTGCACGGCAGTGCCCACACCTCCCAAGCCTCCTGCTCCAGCTGTCAGACTGAATTTCCAGCTGCGGCAGCAGCACTGTGAGAAGGTGAGGAGCAGAGCCTGTGCCTGGGAACAGCACATCCACAGGGAAAATCCCTCTGGAAAGGAGGGTTCTGAGGGAAGCAGCTCCTTTCTCCCCTTCCCTGCAGAAGGCAGCAGGGCTGGTGGCTCCTCACCCTTCCCACAGCCCCAGATAATTTATGGGAGACACAAAGAAAGAGTTACGGCTTTTAACGAGCAATTTTGAAGCAGATACTACCAATATACAGAGTCCTTGGTTCCACTGAATAAATATCTCTGACAGCCAAACAATAACTCTGCCTCTTATTTTAGAGCTCAACCCCAAACTGGTAGACTTTGTAACTCTCCACACTCCTGCTATTCCCTGAGGTGCTTCCAAGATGATCACTGTCAGAGCCACGGAGTCTATAAAAAGGATGAAGGAAGCTGGGAAATTTCCACAGAGGTGGTGCCAGCAAAACAGAAGGAACATTTCAGCCATCCCCAGCAAAGCCAGGCTGCAGCACTGCAATTGCAGCAGTGCAGTCCAACAGCTCCCCCAGCTGAGCCCTGCGACAGCTGCACTCACTCCAACACAGCTGAGGTACCTGGAAAGTTCCAGATCTGCTCCAAGGGGATTCAGATTTACTCTGTGCAGCCAAAGCTTGCTCAGAGGAGAGCTGGAGAACTCTTGAGAGGAGCTGTCATGGTGCAGAACAAGGAGTGGCTTGGCAAGTGGCAAACTCCTGCCTGATGCTCAAGGGAAGGGCAGGGAGGCCCTGCCAAACCAAATCCTGTCACAATCCATCCCAGTCTGTGTCACATACATCACCTACCCATGAAAACTGCACTGAAAGTCCTGGTGGGACTGTGCTGGTGGCCCTGAGCTCCTCATGGGACTGTGCTGCTGGCCCTGAGCTCCATGGCCAAAGGGTTTGAGGAGCTTCCCATGGGCTGTGGCACCATCTGCTGGAGATGGCACCAGGAAAATGGGTTGGAATTAAGGGATTCTGGAGGAAGAACTGACAGGATGCAAACTGAATCATATTCGGAGCTGGAAACCCACAGGATCATCTGCCCAACCCCTGGCCCTGCACAGACACCCCAACAATCCCAGCCTGTCCCAGAGCAGTGCCCAAACACCCCTGGAGCTCTGGCAGCCTTGGGGCTGGGACCATTCCCTGGGATGAACCTTTCCCTGGGATCAGTCACGTCCCAGTCATAACCCAGAACCACATTTCTGGAGCTCCACTTGTTTAACAGAGGTACCACAAGAGATTCTGCAAAATCCTCCTGCGGCTGCCTTGGACAGCGAGCCCAAGGAGCAGGAATGTTGGGAAACAGATTTCATGATGTGTTGGGAAGGGTTTTAAAACTGCCATTGATGTTCCAGAGAGTCAGCCCCTCCCTGCACCCTTCCCAAGCCTGGAAAAGAGCACTGGAGCCATTCATTTACAGCCTCCTGGCTCCTGGGGGCTTTAATGTGCCACAGGCACCAAGCCCCAGAGCCCCCAGGGAGCCATAGCCCCGAGAGGTGGGAGGATGCTGCTGCCACTGCCAGGGCACGGTGACAGCACAGCCTCCCTGTGACATTTCTGCTCTCATTTGCACGCAAATGTCAATATTTATTAGTCACATCCAGATCTTCAGCAAAGCTCCCATGGGTTGCTGAGTCTCTGCATTTATACTTTTAAATTGCTTTTAAAAGAAGCATATTGGCTCTTGGTAACTTATTCCAGACTTCCTACGTTCTTTATTTCATCCTTAACTATCTACTGCTTTTGTGGGAAGGGATTTCCAAGCAGTCTATGCATCAACAGTGTTGAAAAATGCTTTACCATCACGCCAAAAAATGACCATGGAAAAGTAACCTTTTCACTTAACTTGTCCCTGGAGCTGTGAACATATTTATGTATTTAAATAATGGAAATCTGAAAGTAACAGATGTTTCCTGCCTAGAGCACAGAGCAAGAACAACAGTGCTTCATTATTACAGTGCCTCTGAAGCATCCACACATTCCCATCCCCATTTGCTCTCCTGTGCATTCGTTTGCAAAAATCCCCAAGTGCTGAAATCTGGTTTTAATCGTGATGTCAACAAGTCTCCCTAATCCTGCTGAAAGTCAGGAATTAGGCCTCTGAGCAAGCCAGCATGAAAGAGTGAAATTGCTTTTAAATGTAAAGTAGGAGGGAAGAGGAGAGAAAAAATGGGAATTGAGAGATTAGGTAAACCTGATGGAATTTGGTAGAGCTGGGGAAGGGATATTTTAGTGGTGTTCAGGAGCCCTCACTCACCAGGATTTGGGCTCCCCAAAATGCAAGTAGTTGATGCTGTAGAGATCCATGTCCTCTGTATGCCAAGCAAAAGTTGTCTTCCACATGCCAAAGTAGAGGTAGGGAGTGTTCACCCCCTCGATGATGATGCCACACTCGTGCTCCACCATGTCCAGGAGGGTGTTCAGGTTGCCAATGTTCCACTCATCCACGTCCTGGAAGCCAACAGGAATGGTTTGTGCTGGGAATGGCAGGAGCAGGCACAGCCTCAGCTCCCTGCAGGGCCTCAGGGGCTGCTGCTGGTGCCACCTGCATTAACTGAACCCCCTCTGCCCTCAGGAAGGTTCATTTGGTGCTCCAGCACTCTGCAGAGGCTCTTGCACCGTGCAATTAACTGTTCTGTAATGAACACAGCACACAGGGTAAAACACACTCCTCTCAGATGTTCCCCTGATCACAAACACCCCAGTGTGGCCAAAGGGGCAGAACCTTCAACCTCAGGCCAGAGCTCCAGGTGAAACCAGAAACCACCTGAGAACAGTTGTGCTGGTGCCTGGTTGTGTCCCACCCTGATCCCAGCAGGGAAGGATGTGACACTCCCACCAAACACCAAATCCTCCGCACCCCTGAGATGTGCATGGCTCTGAGCACCCCAGATATCTCTGCTTATTCTAATTAATCCCATATTAAACCTCGCTGATAATAAAAAGACACTCATACATTCACACACAATCAGACAACACTCCAAAGAAAGCCACTTCCCACTCAAAAGAAAACTACAGAGGAAGAGATTTAAATTATCTGCCTAAAAAGAGTAAGGAGAGAGAAACCTTTATCATTTACAGAATTACTTGAAGCAGAGGATGAAATTTCACCATGGAAAAGCTTAAACAATTTGAATTGTAAAATAATTCAGTGTGCAGGTGCATTGTATCCTAATGGAGCTGCCTACAAGGAAAAGATCCAAATGCAAATAATTTAAAATCCAAATGTAAATAATTTAAAATCCAAATGCAAATTATTTATGTTAAGACTCAAATATATTTTTGATGTAGCATCATTTCCTTGAAATGCTGGTTATCTCTGGCTTTCTAAGGAGCTTCAGCAGAAATCTCCATTTTATTCCCTTAAAAAAGAAACAAAACTCAAGGTATAGACAATTTTTTGTCACAGTTTGCAAAAGAATTTGTTTAAATCACACTTTTCCTCATTTTTCAACTAAAAGTCAGCTTTTCACAGCTTCCACTGACTATTATCCTGAATCTCAGAGGAAGTTTTGTAATGAGGGGAAAACCACAAAGGCATTGGGTTTTTTTTAGGGTGGCTACATCAGTGAAATTCTGAATTACTGCTCCTCAATGAGAAAAGTAAGTCAGAAAAAGGAAATAAATGAAGGAGAAGCACTGCACTTACTGCATCATACAGGGAGCCACTGATGTCAGCCCCATAGATGGGGGACACAAAGGTGAGATTCTTCCAGTACTTGCGCTCCAGGTCCTCAAAATCCTGGTGCCGAGGGGTGCAGTACCTGCCAGGGAACACAGGCATGGGAGCAGCTCTGAGGGTGTATTTCACCTTTAATTCACACAACTGCTGCCTTTCCACCTCTGCACAAACCCTCTGGGGCAGGCTGGATGTGCAGCACCTCATCCCCATCCCATGGAGACGTGAGGTGAGGTTATCCCACAGCCCTCAGGTGCCAGGAAAACTCCAAAGCTGATTATCCTGGAATGGTTTGGGTTGGAAGGGAACTTAAATCCCACCCAGTGCCACCCTTGCCTGGGCAGGGACACCTCCCAAGTTCCAGGCTTCCCCCAGTGCCCTGGCCTTGAGCACTGCCAGGGATGCAGGGGCAGCCACAGCTGCTCTGGGCACCCTGTGCCAAGGTGTGCCCATCCTCACAGCCAGGAATTCCTAATTCCCAATATCCCATCTCAATCCACCCTCCTTCAGCTTAAAGCCATGGCTGTATAATCTCAGTCCTGATTAAAACCCAGGGTCCTCCAGAACTCTGGAGAAGTCCAGGCTCTGGAACCAGGATGAGACTGCAGTGGCACATCCCAGCTGATGAAGTGCCTTGCAGAGCCCCCAGGCACTCTGGAAGACACTCGAGTCACCAGTGTCAGCCCAAGCACCCCAAAGTATCTGCATTTCTACCCCAGCCATGGAACACCTTTTCCAGAAGAGCCAAGAGATCCTTTTTTGGTGCCAAGCCATTCTTTTCAGAAAGATTCTCAGCCAAATGCTGACCCTGAACAATCCTTCTACACCAGCTCTCAGAAACAGCTCTGAGATACACCAAAACCCAAGCCACAAACTGGTTTGAGACTCAATAAAAGCAGTTTCCCCCCAAATGCTCCACGTTTAACATGGCTGCACTTTCTCATCAGCCAGTTTTGGGCAAGAAAAGCCTCCCAGGAGCTGCCCCGTGCCCGTGTGGAGCCCTGCAGGCACGCACTTCTCGCTGTTGGCCAGGCGCCGGTACTCGCCCACGGTCATGGGCTTCTTCTGGATGTTGTACTGGGTGAAGAGCCCTGACTGGCCCGTGACCACCTGCTGGATGGGAGCTGGGATCACCATGTCATCGATGTCATCGTAGGTGCGCCGTGGCTTCCACTCCTTGGGGGGGATCACCTGCAACGGGGACAGAAACATGGGAATGTCACAGATACTGCAGCTGTGGGGATCACCTGAATGGGGACAGAAACATTGAAAAGTCACGGATACTGCAGGGAACAAAACCATGGAATTGTCACAGATACTGCAGCTGTGGGGATCACCTGCAATGGGGAACAAAAACCATGGAACTGCCACAGACACTGCAGGGAACAAAACATGGAACTGTCACAGACACTACAGAGAATAAAACCATGGAACTGTCACTGACACTGCAGGAAACAAAACCATGGAACTGTCACAGACACTGCAGCCCTGGATTTGGGGGCATGAGGGGCTCCACTTCCTTGGGGGGATCACCTGCAATGGGGACAAAACCATGGAACTGCCACAGACACTGCAGGGGGGATCACCCGAATGGAGAACAAAAACATGGAACTGTCACAGACACTGCAGCTGTGGGGATCACCTGCAACAGGGACCAAAAACCGTGGAACTGTCACAGACACTGCAGCTGTGGGGATCACCTGCAACAGGGACCAAAAACCGTGGAACTGTCACTGACACTGCAGGGAACAAAACATGGAACTGTCACAGACACTGCAGCCCTGGCTTTGGGGGCTTGTCAGCACTTGGGCCATGTCAGCACAGGCTGATGAGATCATTTGCTCTGACAAGGACTTGTTAGGAGTGGTGTTTAGCTGGCCTTAATAAAGCACAGTGGAGAAATAAAGCTGTTAGGCATGGAATAATTCTTATTTCTTCTAAAACACAGGTCAATTACTGGGTTTATTGCTGCTCTAAAGAGAGCTGGCTATTGATGAAGAGCTCTCCGTGGAATGTTTCCTTGTCCACTCAAGTGTACAAGCAATTATCTTCCAGGACTTTGCTAGGGAGATTATTTTAATAGAGCTTGTTGGCAACTTCCAGATATTGTAAAGAAATTACTTTACTTGTAGGATTAATCTGAGCATTCCAGGTCAGCCAGCCCTGCCTCACCCAGCCCCTCACCTTGGCCAGCTCCTGCCCTCACCTTGCCCAGCCCCTCACCTTGCCCAGCCCTGCCCCAGCCATCCCCTCACCTTGGCCATCCCCTCATCTTGGCCATCCCCTCACCTTGGCCATCCCCTCATCTTGGCCATCCCCTCACCTTGGCCATCCCCTCATCTTGGCCATCCCCTCATCTTGGCCATCCCCTCACCTTGGCCATCCCCTCACCTTGGCCATCCCCTCACCTTGCCCATCTCCTCACCTTGGCCATCCCCTCACCTTGGCCATCCCCTCATCTTGGCCATCCCCTCACCTTGGCCATCCCCTCATCTTGGCCATCCCCTCACCTTGGCCATCCCCTCACCTTGGCCATCCCCTCATCTTGGCCATCCCCTCATCTTGGCCATCCCCTCACCTTGGCCATCCCCTCACCTTGGCCATCCCCTCACCTTGGCCAGCTCCTCACCTCACCCAGCCCCTCACCTTGCCCAGCCCTCAGCCATCCCCTCACCTTGCCCACCCTCACCTTGGCCAGCTCCTGCCCTCACCTTGCCCAGCCCTCAGCCATCCCCTCACCTTGCCCACCCTCACCTTGCCCAGCCCTCAGCCATGCCCTCACCTGGCCCATCCCCTCACCTTGCCCAGCCCCTTGCCCATGCCCCCACCTTGGCCAGGCCTGCCCTGTGGGCTCCCTGGGACTCCATGAAGGCGATGAACCTCCCGAAGTCGCGGAACTCCTCCAGCGAGGGCCGGAAGGTCATGATCTTACAGCCAGGGTTCTGCGGGCTGGGGTTTTCCGACCCCATAGCTCCAGTCCTGCACAGGGGACACAGGGAGGAAAATATACTGGTTAAACCTTTGGTTTCTAACTCCCAACTCTAAGGAGTTCCACAGAAAGCCTGCAGAGATTTTTCATTTCCTCACACAGCTCCCGCAAGGGGGGATTTGTAAGAGCAACCCTCTGACATGGACACGAGGAGCTCCCAACCAAAAATCCACTTAGTCAGGAACTCCTGACACCAGGATCACCCGAGAGCTTGGCCAGGGGCTAAATATAAACCACATCTGCCCCCAGTTCAGCACAGAAAGTGGTGCCACAAAAATAACAACTCCTCACCACCTTCAGCTCTGTCACTGTGCACAACTTGCCACCACGCAAGTTTTCCACCAAAATGCTTCACCATTTTCTGTTTAGGTTCAAACCCAACAGCTTTCCCAAATCTGGGTTTTTTTCATGTTCTGGACTACACTAAAAATTATAAAATTAAGGGGTTTTTTTAAACATAGCTTCATTACACTTTGTCTTTGCAATGTACATAAACAGAACAAAGTGTCAGGCAAGTCTCACAAGAAATACAGACACACAATTCCAAACATCCAAAACAAATTCTCAAACCATTCAGGATGAAATAATAATTTTTAAAATATACTTTTTTAAGGTTATGCTGTAAATTTGTAAGGGAAATAAAATGTTTTAGTGGCGTTTCAGCTGCAAATATCCCCAGGAATGAATTCTCCATGAGGAGGAGCTGCAGCAGCTCCACACTCTGAGCACTCACGAGATGGCAGTGCTGGGCTGTGGAGGATGAACTGCAGGGAAACAGCTCCTGCCAGGCTTTCACATGGAAAAAAAGCATGTAAAGAGTGTTTAAACTGATTTCAGAGCAGCCAAGAAGTATTGCAGATGCTCCTGGAAGTAGTCACAGTGTTAGGAAAACACAAAATGAAGCAGGGAATACTCCCAGCTCTGTGTTTGAATGGGTGAGTGTGGCACAGAACTCACCCCAGAGACAACCAGTGCTCCCAGCTCCTGGAATTAAAACCACCTAAAGTGGGCAGACTCCACACCCAGGGCACCAAAGTTTCATTTTAACTGGATAAAACTTTTCCTTTCAAAGGCACATGAACAGTTTGGAGTGAAATTTTAGAAGCCAGAAAACATTAGAATTTTACACAGTAACTTTTACGCAAATTTGTTTCAAAACAAGGATCTGCAAGTCTTATGTCCTTCCCCAAGGAGTCTTTAAAGGAATTTTATGCATGAAATCACAGCTTCTCACAGGCAGAAAAGCCTTTCCCAAGCCAGGAGCCAGAGATGCAGAACCCAGTCCAGAATAAAATCAAATTATGAATCCCAGTATTGCAGGAAATCCCAGAGCAAAACCAGTTGAGGGAGAAAAATACCATTTCACCCCGTTCACCCCAAGATACTTCACTTCTCATCTCCGACAGGAATTGTTGGAAACAAAAGGGCCATTTAAGCAACCCCTCCATCTTCAGGGTGGCCCTGCCCAGGGAGATTCCCAACCCTGCCAACAAGGAACAAAAATTGCCTTTTTTTTGAGAACAAAACCTGCTGTTTCAGGGTCAGCACTGGAGGAGAAGCAGCAGATTGATCCCTGCCCATGGGGAGCCCTTCCTGTACAAATGTTTTGCAGGAGCACAAGGAGGAAATCCCTGGGATGAGCCAGGGGAGCTGGGGACCCATCTGCCAGGGGTTTGCTCAAATCCCCCAGAAAACAGGGCTGAGCTGGAGGGAAAGGGGCTGCAGGGGAGTGGGACAGGGACAGAAACCATCCCAAATCCTGCCACAGCCTTCTGGGAACGCTGGGGCTATTTTTGGGCAGGGTCTGGAGATGGCAGGGGCCGAGGGGAGCGGGGAGCTGGAGCAGGAGCTGGCTCAGGAGTGAATTCCATCCTGAGCAGGAGCCCTGCCAGCACCATCTGCTCCACAGAGGCTTCCCAGAGCTGCAGCTTTACCCACAGCCAGGGCAAAACAAACAGCCAAAGCCAGGCTTGATCCCATCCTTCCCTCAAGATTCTCTCACAAAATTCCAGCTTTTAGTCGATAAACTCAGGGCAAAGAGTAGAAATTTGTGTTCCTGTAAGGAAGGGAGATCAAAAACTGCTTCATGCAAAGCTTAATCAATTAATTAAAGGATAAAACTACTTCCTGCAAAGCTTAATTAATTAATTAAAAGGTCTACTGCCTCAGTACAAGCAGCATCACCTGGCACTCTGGAATTCTTTAGTCCAGACACAGCAAAACACAGGATTTTTCCATGTGCAGTCCCATCCAAAGAACATTCCAACACCTACTCTAGATAATGTACATTTAGCCAATCAAACCAATTAAGCTATTGCAATAAAATGGCCACAGAGCTCATGGGAAGGGGGGAATCAGGTCCATGAGCTCAGTGAGATGTGGGAGCTTCCCCCACCAGCCCCAGGGAGCTGGGAACACCGGGGCCAGGGGAAGCTTGGGGAAGAGGAGAATTTCTGTCCCAAGTGCTTCCCACGTGGAATTGTTTTGGGGAAAGCAGTGCCAGGACTCGTGGTCATCTCCACCTCAGGATTTGTGGCCACCAGGACTCGTGGCCACCTCCATCCCAGGATTTGTGGCCACCAGGACTCGTGGCCAGCTCCGTCCCAGGATTTGTGGCCACCAGGACTCGTGGTCATCTCCACCTCAGGATTTGTGGCCACCAGGACTCGTGGCCACCTCCATCCCAGGATTTGTGGCCACCAGGACTCGTGGCCAGCTCCGTCCCAGGATTTGTGGCCACCAGGACTCGTGGCCTGCTCTGTCCCAGCTGTGGGATCACACAGCCCACACAGCAGGACAGGGCTGCAGCTTCCTCTGGGATTTTCAGGAGATGGCCCCAATTAGGCAGTGCCCTAAGGAGCTGCCAGCATCCCTGGAAGGTTCCAGAGCAGAATCTGACTGTTCTGAGCACACTGAGAGCCCTCCCAGCCCCAGCAGGGCTGCAGATGAGGGCCAGGTGGGAACAAACCCTTCTCTGAGTACTGACAAGGAGGATTCTGCACTCAGAGCCTCCATCAGCTCCTGAAAGGAAGAGTGAAGGTATTTGTCTCAGCTGGATACGTTCTGTTTCTTTGTGAGACAGTAACAACCTGAAATATTATGAAAACCTTCTCATTTTCAACCATTGTGAGGAAGCACAAAAACTTGTCTCCAGAGGGACGATCTCGGTGCACACAAAGAACTGAGTTTTAATTTCAATGACTTTTACTTCTCAATGAGACGTTTCCCTTCCAAAACTGATGTGAACCAAGGCACTTTTGTGACTGAAATCCTGCACCTGTGGGCTGAAATCTTTGTACAGCACAGAAAAAGTCCAGCTGAGATCAAGGATTGCTACAGGACTGACAGACTGGGAATCCTTCCTCCACGAAAAGGGCTGGGATTTCTGAGCAGCTCCTGCTGCTGCCCCACTGCTGATCTCCTTCCCCTCTACTCCCAAGAATCAGATTCCAGCACTCACACAAACAAAATGTAAATTTTTAAATGTGAAGTTTGCTGTTGCTCAGCCCAGTTTTAAACAACTGTGTAATTACAGCAAGGATTTAAACTAACACCTTGCCCCCAAAAATATTTATAGATAGATAAATATTTATAGATTATATAAATATATTATTATATTATTATAGATATAATGTTATATTATTATACAATATTATATAATATAAATGTATTATTATATTATTCTAGATATAATATTTATAGATTCAGTTCATCACATTTTTAACATTCAAATTGCTTTGAGTTCTGTATATCCTCCATATAGGCTAAGTTGTTTTAAACAACTGTGCAATTACAGCAAGGATTTAAACTAACACCTTTCCTCCAAAATATTTATAGATAGATAAATATTTATATATTATATAAATATATTATTATATTATTCTAGATATAGTATTATATTGTTATATAATATTATATAATATAAATATATTATTATATTATTATAGATATAATATTTATAGATTCAGTTCATCACATTTTTAACATTCAAATTGCTTTGAGTTCTGTATATCCTCCATATAGGCTAAGTTGTTTTAAACAACTGTGCAATTACAGCAAGGATTTAAACTAACACCTTTCCTCCAAAATATTTATAGATAGATAAATATTTATATATTATATAAATATATTATTATATTATTCTAGATATAGTATTATATTGTTATATAATATTATATAATATAAATATATTATTATATTATTATAGATATAATATTTATAGATTCAGTTCATCACATTTTTAACATTCAAATTGCTTTGAGTTCTGTATATCCTCCATATAGGCTAAGTTGTTTTAAACAACTGTGCAATTACAGCAAGGATTTAAACTAACACCTTTCCTCCAAAATATTTATAGATAGATAAATATTTATATATTATATAAATATATTATTATATTATTCTAGATATAATATTATATTATTATATAATATGAATCTATTATTATATATATAATATTTATAGATTCAGTTAATCACATTTTTAACATTCAAATTGCTTTGAGTTTTGTATATCCTCCATAAAGGCTAAGTAAACACAACAGAGGAAATATTTGGAAAAGAGGAACAGAGACAACATTCCCACCCAGCACAGGGATGAAGATCTACAGTGCTTGGTATTTGACAAATTGAGAGTTATTTTCTATTAAATTTTACACTCCACAAGACTCCTCCACAATTCCAGATCCTCCTGTACTTGAAATCAAGCAGCATATGTAGCTCATTAAGAGAAAATAAAATTTTCCCCCAAAACACCCTCTTTGCTGTAGAAGTGCACAGTTACTCACACACTTCTCTAGCAACAAAATTATTTAGCCACAAACTGTATTTAAAAGGGTAAAAAAAAAAGTGGTTACATTTAGGAGCAATAAATCTGGATGACTTTAAAACAGTTTATTATTGCCTGAGGCAAGGTAGTTAACATGTAATGGTTATTTCTGACTAAATCCAGATCAGAACCTCAAAAACTCAATAGTTTGACTGAATAGACA